GTTCCTGCAGTGAGCTCTCCAAATCCTCATGGTTCCATGGGCGAATTCTATCAAACAAGGAAGAAATAGTATGAATGTTACACAAACTCTCCTCAGAAAATAGAAGGATAGAAGTATGTTCCGATTCATTTGAAGTGGCCATTATCACCCTGATACTGAAACCAGACAGGAACATTACCAGGAAACCACAAACCAAAAGCCTTCCAGAACACAGACACAAATCTTTAACAAAAGACTAGCAGATGGAGCCCAGCAATATATGAAGGGGTGACACATGCCTAAAGAATACAAAGTTGCCCTAACATTTGAGATTCAATATAATTTACAGTGGAATAAAATGTGTGATTATCTCAACGCATGTAGAAAAAACATTTGACAAAAGCCAATATCCATTCATTGCCACATATATAATATATATATATATATATATATATATATATATATACACACACACAAAGACCACACCACTGCTAACTTCCTCACGATTTGCAAAAACTGGCAATGTTCAACAACTGATGGATGGGAGACAAATTGTGGCACATCCATACAGTGGAATACAAGCTGGCAATAAAAATAACGAACTCCAGAAACACAACGCGACGGGTTCCGACACAGAGGTGCAGCCGCCGCCACATGCAAACAAGCACGAACACTACGCATGAGATTTGAAAACAGGCAAAACTAATCTCCAACGACAGAGAGCAGAGCAGGCATTACCGGGGCTGAGGACGATTTGGGGCGGGGCACAAGGGTTGACTGCCAGGTGAGGGGAGTTCTCCCCATCCGGATCGTGCTAATTGGACACATGTGTATATGCTGCCCAGCGCCATCCAATTCTGCACTTAAAATCGGTGCATTTTATGCTCCAGTAAAATATATCTCAGTGAGGCTAATTAAAAAGAAGAGACTGAAGACTAACGCTTGTCATCTTGCACTGTTCCTTGTGGACCACTGCCCCTTCTCTCCTAACCTGGATGCCTGCCTTGGGCTCCCAGGTCTCCTATGCCTCCGCTTCCGTTGCCCCAGCCCAGTCTTCTGTTGTGTTCTTGGTGTGGAATTCAGGTTTTGGGCTGATGGTTATTAAACGCTTGCCATGGGAGAGATAGACAGCTAGCAGTGAACTGGCATGCGCTAGAGAAAGAATCACTCATAGCTCTGTCTTCGGGGTACAGGGATGCACGCCACAGGGTGACCGGAGCAGGTTCCCTGCTGCGGAAGGAGGGCAGGCGCCTGCATGGCTCCAAGGAGGGGAGATTGACCCTGGGCCTTGCAGAGTTAGAGTCCAAGGAAACAAGATGGGAGAGTATGATAGGTATCAGAGCTCAGCAGGGCCCCAGTATTAGGTGGCTGGGTGGGCGCCTAGGGCTGTAACAGCCAGGGTTCTCCAGAGAGACAGGAAACAGGACAGCAGGAGATCTGCAAGAGGGATTCACTAGGACACTCGCCTGGAGAGATTGCAGAGGCTGACAAGTCCCATCCCAGGCCGGTGAGAGGGGGAGACCCCTAGACGCTGCAGTGTGACTCAGTCCAAGTCTATAACCGCAGAACCAGAGAAGCCAGTGGTGAGACAGCTTGAGGCCAAAGGGGTTTCCAGTGCTTCGGTGCCATGACACCGGTGAAGCAGCCTGCCTGGAGCTACCTGGATGCATTGGAAGTTGACCCTTTCAGTCCTCTCCACCTCCAGAGCACTGGTGACTCCTCCTGCTTCACCTGTTTCCCCTGGGGCTTCACAGTTGTCTGTGAGATTAGCAAACTGTTGTCACCATTTGGCAGGTGAAAAGAAACTGGAATGAAAACATTTTAGTGGCTGTCTGGAGTGAACCGCTACAAATTGCAAGGCTGGTCTTTCATGTCTCCTGTCTGTGTCAGCTCACCATGTAGCTCCTATCCCTTCCTCTGGTCCTCCCAACTCTCTGCCTTCCTCTTCCTCTTTCCTCCCTCCACCCCCACACCATGGTATAGCGTGGCCCGTCTGTCACAGCAAAATGGTGTGCACTGTCCCCTTGACATAATACCCAACACCTGTAACTTAGAGGTGGAGACATGGGCTCATGATATCACCCTACCATGGGCCAGCTGCAAGGCAGAAACAGGATGGCAGAGAGTTCTCGGCCCATGAAAGGCAGGAGGGGCCAGAGACAAGCTCACACCCTTCCAGGCGAGACCCGCAGGGACCCGGCTCTCGGGCTCCTAACGGCATATTCAACTATGAGCTCGTCAAAGGGTGAATCTACTGATGAGTACACTCCCTGAGCCAGTCAGCTTCCGCACGTACCAGGCTTTGGGGAACGCTTTAGACCTAAACCACAGCAGGCAGCCCTTCCCTTCAGTGAGCCAGGAATTACAGAAATACGTGGTCCACAGCAGTCACGGGATGGCTATAGCGGAAACCAGCCCTGCAGCAGATGCAGCAAGGGCCATGCACTGAGGTGAGGACCCTGTCCTGGTGGGGGCGCAGGAGGTCCAGGCAGCCCTGCATGTGTATGTGCCCCCCAACACCTCACACATGGTGTGCACATGCGCATAGCCTGAAAGTCCTGGAGGAGGGCTGCCCTTCCTTGAGGCTGTTGGTCTGTGTTGAACTAAAAAAAAAAATCCATTCAGACTCACTCAGGATTCCTGGGAACATTTCCTCTCTCACACCCATTGTCTTCGGTTGCTAGCTTGAGTCTTCCTGCGGTGAGCAGGGCCCTTTTGCAGTCAGCCCTGTTTGGGGGGCTCTTTGCAGGGGACCTATTGTTCCATAGTTGCTGAGTATGCAAATCTGAACCAACAGAAGCAGAGGCACTGAGCTGCCCCTCTCCCTGCTGGCCTCTTGAGGATTCCACTGTCCGCATGGGCCAGCCAGCTCACGGAGCCAGCCAGCTCGCGGAGCCCGGCTCTTAAGGCGAGACCAGGGATGGTGCAATTGGTGACAAGCAGAGATCAGCAGCGGGTGCTGCTGGGGTTGGCACCTGGTCAGGAAGGAAGCTACTGCGCCCTGCCCTCCAGGCAAGGTTTGAGGCTTGGGAGTCCAGGGGCACAAGGGTGGTCTGGGGTGACTGGAAGACAGAGGGATCTGAGCCCAAAGCTAAGCAAAGTCCAGAAGCTCCAGAGTGAGTGGGACACAGGGTCTCTTGCGCCATCTTGGGTGCTGGCCTTGGGCTGGCCCAAAGCCAAGGACACTACAAAAAGAGTCCAGGCTTCCTGTCCCAGCCATAGCTCATTACAGACACACATGAACCCTGGAGGGACATGGAGGGCAGTGGCCAAGGTCAGCAGAGGTCTCCCAGTACCTTTGGGCACTCAGGGAAGTGGGGCGGGTTTATAGGTCACACCTATGGTGTCATGTCCCATGTGACAGCTCTGCGGAGGCTCAGACAGGTGGCAGGAGTGCTGGGTGGGGGCACAGGGGGTGGAGTCAGGCAGGGGCTTCACTGAGGTTGGCATCATCATCTAGTGGAAACCTATGAGGTCAGCTGGTGGAGGAGGCGGGGTGGAGTAGAGGAGACAGCTGGGGCACCGTGAGCCATGTGGGGTGGCTGATGGCACAGGACTGACCCAGAGCTGGCTGTCAGAAGCAGCCCTGGTGCCTCGTCCTCCCTACAGTACCTCCAGTCCCCGGGGCTCCCCAGGTTCTGAGGCCCCTAATTCAGCTGAGAACCAAAGAAGTGTGTCTCCTAGACTGGGTGCAGATTTGTCCTCCGTTTCCTTTTCCTTACTGTGTGCTTTGAAGAGAACATCACCCTGTTTATCTGAGGGACCTGAGCATCCTTGCAGTTGGATGTCCACTGGGGTCCTGGCACCTGTCTCCATGGATACTGAGAGATGCAGGGATGGGCTGCCTCAGTCCAGAGAGGTCTACACAGCCACCTTCCTGTCAGGCCAGTCTCTGGAGCAGGAGCACCTGTCTAGGCTGCAGGATGTGGGGCCTCATCCACTTTTGCTTCCTGTCCTACAACTTGGCAGTGTCTTGGTGTGACAATCCAAGTAGTACCATGACTCAGAGCCCGAATATGTTACCAGCTGCCGTTTTTTTCCTCCTAGCACTGGGGATGGAACCCAGGGCTTTTACACTCATCTTCATGTCCAGGCTTTTTATTTTTTATTTTCAACAGCCTCTCACTAAGTTGCTAAATTGACCAGGCTGAATTTGAAGTTATGATCTTCCTGCCTCAGCCTCCCAAGTACACTTCTAAACCCCCAAAAGCCTGGCCTTGAAACATGCCTGTTCCTAACTCCTGCAACGGAAGTTCCTTCTGCCACTAAGTCGCAGAGCCAGCAGGACTGGGCCTTGCCTCCCCAGGTCTTCTCTCTCCCCCTTGCAGAGCAAGCTCTGTGGCGTCCAGGACATGGAGAGCTGCTCGTGAAGCCCTCGAGGCACAGTGTGTGCCCAGCACTCTCTCCACAGGGCCAGCCATAAGGCTGCCACGTGACCCTGCCGGTGCCCAGGAGCGAGGCTGGCCGTGGGCCCCACCCCCACCCACACCCCCACCCACACCCCCGGGCCATCCCAGACCCCCTGGGGCCATGCTTCCCTCTTTGTGCAGAACATCAGCCACCACCTGTTGTTAATCTAGCCCGTAATCCATTCTGCACTGTGTCAGCAGTTCAAAAGGGCACTGTTAGTATTTTTTGCCGACTTCAATTAACTTTGAGATTTCAGAGGCCCCTCTGATCACATTTCATCTGTCATAAGTCAGGAACAAAACAGACAGATTCCAGTTGAGAGGAGGAAGGAGAAGGAGTTTATTGCAAACAACAACAGCCAAACAGACCGTCTGGGCTGTGCCAGGGTGCCGGGGTGCTGGGGTGCATCCTGTGGCCTCCGCTCTACCCCGCGCCCCAGCCCCCCCCCCCAGTTCCCCTTCTCGCCCACCCGCCTCTCCTCCCCAGAAAGATGTAAGTGCAATAACTTACTTTAAAAGGCAAGAACATTTCTTTTAATATTTCGCTATAATGTAGTTACATGGTGGTATAGGCAGTAAAACTTTATGAAACCCACCTCGATTTTTTTAACATTTTTTTCTGAATTTTTAATGTATTTTTAATAGATTTTTTTTAATATTCCACCCCAGGCCGTTAAGCTAAAGGAAAAGTTGCATTTATACAGGGTTAAACTATCTTACACTGAGACAGTTAGTATTGGCTGAGGTCCACGTTCCTCCTCGCACTCGGCTGTGTTAACCACTGCACACCAACACGGGTTACTCGACACTGAAACTGTCCTCAAAATCAGTAGTATAAAGGCCTACTCTACATGACAGGGAAGGGCGACAAAGGAGGGCAAGCATCTCGTTCAATGCCACCGATACCACCCGACAGGAACACTCTCCTTCCCTTGGGCATCCTGAAAGAAATGACTGGGGTTGGTGTGACCCTGGGAAATGGAGTTTGTCACTGTCTCACTTGTCGATTGTGTGACTGTGGATTGTTATCCTAGGGGGCGAGTCCTGCCCTCTCCCGGCCAGGCCTGTCTGCCTTTGCCCTCGACAGGCAGGATCATCCAGCATGCCAGCAGCCCCATGTCCCCACTGTAGCCCACAGAGTGGATGACTGGAGACACAGGGTGTGCAGTATGGTCATGGAAATGTTCTTGATCTCCCAGCAAAAAAGAAGAAATGGATATGGTGTGGTCACAGCGGTGTGTGCTGGGGACCCCTCACTCGTGCTGTGTCCTGCCCGTCACAGCGACTCTAACCTGCCCTCCAGGTGGGCATCAAGTATAGTTACAAGAAATCAGGGATGGTTTGATGGCCCTCACACGCTGGGCCTGGACAGAAGGGACTTCTGGAGGTGGCAGAGATCTGGGCATGTGGCCCTCCAGAGACTCTGGGCTCCCAGACCTGGGGACGGTGCCCACTCCATGGCCGGTTACAACCACTTTATGGCCAAGCTGCCTCCTCTGTGGAGACCTCAGAAAACAGCAAAGGCAACCCTCAGCCCTGCCACATACTGGCTGAGCGGGCGCCACGCCACAGGGAGTCTTCATGCCACCTCCAGGGGCCTCAGCCTCTGAGGATGCCAGCTGGCCACCCTTGGGACTGCTGCAGCTGTCCCTGCTGGAAAGAACCAGGATCCCCTCCATGTCCTCTCTGGCCAGCACCAGCCACCTTGAGGGCCTGGGTCACTCTGCTCCGGGTGAAGGGACTGGTTATCGAGGGGGCATATGAGATCTCTTCCAACTCGGTGACCCTCTGTCCTGAGGGGCAGGCAGGCTGGGGGTGAGTAGCTACCTCTAGGGAGAAAAAAGAGGCATCTGACACCAGCACACAGTCCTGAACCCATCTTGGCCCCATCAGGGAAGAGGCAGCCATGCTCACCCAGCCTTCCCTCACTGGAGGCTCTTTCTTCCCCAAATCCGGGTTGACATTTGCCTGACGGGGGTCTGGCCTGGGCACAGACTCACAAAGGAACGAAGTGTCTCTAAGGAGGTCCCTTCTAGAAGATTCCACACAAAGCCCTCCTTCACCTTCCTCTCCTGGCCCTGTCCTAGCTCTCTGCACTGTAAGCAAGTTCCTCCCTCACCATGAGGCCTTTGAGAAGGACCTGGGCCGGCCTCTCCTTCCACCCCAGAACCAGAGGAGGATCCCTAAGAGTCACTCCACGATCCTCAAACATCTGAAAGACACACTTTGGGGAACATTTAATCCACTGTCCAAGACTGCTTTCTCTTAAGATCAACTCGAGAGCTAGCGTCCCCCAGAGGATCTGACTCTCGCTGGGGGAAGGCAGGACCAGGAGCCCTGTTTCTGCAGGCCATAAGCCTAGCTTCAGGAGGCAAAGAGCGGGACAGAACTGTTCCCCAGGAAGCAGCAGGAGGTGGCTCTCTGAGAGCTCGTAGAAGAAGCTCTGTAACAGGGCACAGCTCTGTCCCCTAGGCTGCAGGAACACAGAATCCCCACCCGCTGGGTCTGACACTGTGCCAGAGGTGGTGGATGGGGCGGACAGGCCTAGGCTGGAACAGCCGCCCTGCCTTGAGCCTGAGTATGGCCCTGAGTGCCCTGGCAGAGCCTGGGGACACCGCTCTTGACCCCCCTAGCCCTAGCTTATGTATTCCGAGTTGTAAGTCCTTTCACTCCAAGAGTGGTGGGTTGGGGAGGCAAGAGAGACACAGGTACCCCAGATCCTCCTGCAGGGCCCTGGGGAGACATAAGCACCAAGCAGATGGAAGACAGAGCCACCCAGACCTCCCGGTGCGGCTGTGCGATGCCATCACTCTCCCGGAGCTCCTCCTCCAGCACATGGTGGCCGCAGGGGTCCTGGCTCCTCCATGCAGTGTCCGCCAGAACCAATCTCAGGACGCCAGTGTCTGGCCACCTTCCAGGATGGCAGCAGGTCCCAGACTCCCACTCCTGCCTGGGCCGCCACACATGTCCAGTGCAGGGGCAGCCATGCTGGAGTCGTGGGTCCCAGTTGGGTGCCTTGGTTCCAGGAAGCAAGATTCGTGTGCTTTCAGGAAACGGGAACAGGAGCCAGGTCTCAGACACACAGCCATTAGCCCGGAGACCAGCGGATTCCACAGAAGAGGGACAGGCGGACCGGACTGACTGTCACTGCTAACTTTGACACAAGGTCAAAGCAGTGGGCAGAGGAGCAGGAGGGGACAGAGGGCTTCAGCTCATGGTGGGCACGAAGCTGCAGGATTGGGCACCTTGCTGTCTCACTGCCAGTGCCTGGAGCACAAGTCGCTGCCTCGGTGCCAGGGAGCCACACAGGGTCTGTGCTCCTCCCTCCTGCAGTCCCCAGGGCTTCAGACTTGGGGTGGCTGAAAGTGCTGAGGGTCAGGCCCCTGGGCCAGGCCAGGTTCCTAAGAGGAAGTCGAGTGGGGAGCTGGGGTCCTGGGAAGCGCAGGCATGGCGGGCACAGGGACGGGCAGCAGGGGCCCTGTCATGTGGCCCAGGAGATGGCTGCGCTGTGCTCCTTGGCCTTCATGCGCAGTGCTGCGATGCTCGAGGTCTTGCGGTCCGGCTCCCCATTCAGCTCGTAGCCATTGAGGCCGGGGCTGAGGCCCGCCGCCCCGAACAGGCTGCCCACGTGCGTCTGGCCCACGTGGCCACCGGGCCCAGACACACTCAGGAAGTCGGTGACGCTGCTGGCTCCTGAACCTGGGGGATGCGCGTGAGGGGACATGCAGGCGGGCACCGGGTCGCAGGGGACCACACAGGCGGGCACCGGCGAGGCGGCCCCGTTGTTGCCAATCCAGGTCGGGTTCTGAATCTGGGGACAGTGAGGGAGAGCGGTCACGGCAGGCTGGAGGTGGTGGGTCAGCACCCCCACCCCGCGCCCCGGAGGCCTTTGCCTGCTCATGAGAGCCTGATCCCGAGTGTCGAGCCTCAGTGGACCCCCAAAGAGTCCTGGGGTGGGCTTTGAGCTTTGGTACCCTGATTCCCAGGGCAGGCTGGCTGCTGGAGCTCAGGAATAAGGCCGACTTCGAGCCACGAAAGGGCCGACTTCGAGCCAGGGAGGGCTTGTCTGGGGTTGCCCCATTTCTGGCTCAGGCGAGTCTCCAGCTGTGTCCCTGGGAGCACAGCCTCAGCCTCAAGTGGGCAGAGACAGCAGGCAGGGGCAGCAGGCCTCACCCACAGGGGCTGGGCAGAGCGGGACACACTCCTCCCATCAACGCTCCTGCATTTCACCCTCCCCCAGGACCTACTCTGTTCCCACCTCCGCCTGCTAAGACCTGCCAGGAGGTGACTGAGCTGTGGAAGGCCAGCTCCGAAGACTCAGGACCTCTTATATTTGGGATTCTCAGTGGATTCAAGCCCTCCCTCAGGTGTCTGGAAGGCTAGGGAGATATTAAAAATCGGAATGGGGCCAGGAGTGATGGAGCCAGGTGTGGTGGTGCACGCTTGTAATCCCAGTGCCCTGGGAGGCCGAGGCAGGAGAATCACAAGCCCCACCTGGGCAATTTAGTAACACGGCAAGACCCTGCCTCAACGTAAAAATAAAACGGGCGGAGGATATAGCTCAGTGAGAAGGCTCTGAGTTCAAATCCCAGTACTGTGACCAATTAATCATCAATAAAGTAAAATGCAAACTAGGAGGGAGACAGGCCCCCAAGTCCCACAGGGCATTCTGAGGGCATCAAGTGGCTGCAGACTGACCATGCTGCTCCCTGCCCCTGTGCCCCTCACCAGGCCCTCTGGGAAGCACCAAAAGCCTGGGACTGTGGGCTGAGATGAGAGAAAGGAACAGCACCTCATGTTGGTTGATTCTCTCCATCCAGTTTTGAGCTCAGACAGAAGCCATCAAGGCTGGGGTCTCAGAGAAGCTAAGCCCGGGAAGGGAGGAATGAAGCAGAATCGGGAGACCCCATGTTCCTCAGCCTCCCCCAGCCTCCGGGGATGTGGGGGCCCAGAGCAGAGGTGACTGTGTGCTACTGGGGTGGGAGAAGCAGGCTTGGAGCCGAGGGTGTGACCTGGCTGGGGAGGGAAGGACCCCCCGGGATAATTCCTGTCCCTGTGCACCTCCCTGAGGTCTGGGAGGGCAGATGGCCAAGATGAACCAGAGGCACGGAGGATGGGCTGTAGAGGCTGGTGGCTGAGCCACTACAGTGCCTTCTGGGGACTAATTCACAAAGGTTGCAGACCTGGTCACAGCACTGGGTCAAACACTCGTATCTTGCTCACTTTGCAGGTGAGGATGCTGGGGCAGGGAGCCAGACCCGGGCTGGCAAGCTCCAGGGCCTGGCCTTACCTGGGCGTAATTCTCAGCCCGGGTGAGCAGCGGCAGCTCGTAGGCGGTGGAAAAGTGGGTCCGAACCTGCTGCATCTGCCCGAAGCGCTCCCTCTTCCTCCACTTGGCCCTGCGGTTCTGGAACCAGACCTGCCGGACAAAGCGGATGTCATAGAGGTCAGGGGTGCAGTATTCTCTAAGCCCCCACATGTCGTCATACTGGTTTGGGGACTTGGGGTCGATGATTGGCATCCACCTTGGTTCTTGGAGTTGTCAATCTCGAGTCATCAGAGCTATAGAAAAAAAAAAAAAAAAAATCCCAGCACTGGGAGGTTGAAGCAAGAGGATCACTGTGAGTTTGAGGCCAACTTAGAATACACAGTGAGACCATGTCTAAAAAACACAAAAAAGATGTAATCATAGGTGTAACCTTAGACCAGTAACTTTATTTAAGCTTCAGAACCTAGAATGGCAAATGTCATATGCGAAGAGACAAGTCACAGTCCTTAACAGTCCTATAATGAACCCCAGCATAGGTGCACCCTGTTCTATTGAGGTCACAGCTCTCTGGTCCGGTCTGATAAAAGCTACCAAGTGTCCTCCAGAAAGTCCTTCTCTTGGACTGGTGATGATACCACTAGCCTGCTACGGCACACATACGACAAGTTCACCACCACTGTGACAGTCACATGCAGTTTCTCTATGTCTACAGGCCCAGATCCAGAGCTCATGCCCCCTGCATCCTCTCTGCAGACTTCTGGTTGGACACAAACTTGCCCAGCTCAGAACTCCACAAGTGACAATGGGTGACACCCAGGGATGGTAGGGGGCTCTGTGGGCACCAGAAGTGGTCAGGAAATGCTTCCTGGAAGAGAGGGTAGATGCTGGGCCTTTGATGGTTGGCTGGAGCAGGACAGTTCCGGGGTGAGCTAAGGATCAGTGAGCCCTGATGCTTCTGAGCTGAACCCCGCCCTGTCACTGCACAGGGCTTGCTGGGGACCTGGCTAGGGAGGGGTGGGCTCTGAGCCAGGAGTGCTTTGGGCTGGGGGTGGTAGATCTTTGTCCTTGGCAGGAGTTTATCTGACTGGCTATTGCCCAAGGCTCAGTGGTGGGGCAGAGAGGGTGGGAGAGAAACATGAGGTGGGGGTGAGATGGGGTTGGCTTCCTGCCTGGATGGGCTTTCCCCCGGTGGCACTTCTGGAGGGTACTGTGTATCTGAGACTCAGCACTCAGCACCCAGGGAGCACAGCTTGTGCGGCTCATCTAGATTTGGTCTCAGGGAGGGCAGGCAGCACCTCCCTTCTCCATCCATCCACCCTCTGCATCTGTCTGGAAGGAGTCGCCTCTCACCCCCTCTGCTGAGCCCCAAGAGGGCAAAGGAGCTGTCTGATGCACCCCCAGGGGTGCTGCCTGGCCTATGGTGCCTGTGGAGCTGGCAGAGGGCCTGCGGGAGGCTGGCATAGCCAATGCCTCCAGGTCTGCATCTGTACCACGGGCTCGGGTTGGTGCCACCTCCTCATGGGCAGGGATGCTGCCACGTGGGAGCAGCGGGGAGCCAGATAGAAACTGTCCCGAAGTTCTTTGTTTATTGATAGCTCTGACCTCCATGGCTGTCTCTTGCCAAAGGAAAAAGGTCAGAAGAAGGGGGCGGGGGCAGGTCTTGTTAATGTTGGGGAGTGGGGTGCGCACTGGGGTTTCTCCACTGCCACTCCTCCAGCTCCTCTCCTGGTCCTAACCCCACATGCCCATGTGTGCCCGTGTGTCCCATGCACACACACACACACACACAGACACACACACCACATGCAGAGCGCCCTTCCTGTGTCCTCCTGGAGACCCAGCTTGGGGTCTTGGTCCCGCCCTGCAGCCTCAGGGTGGTGGGGGGTCTTTCCTTCCAGAGCCCCTGGGGTCCAGGTCAGGCTGCCCAGTGGGAGCCAAGGACACACCAGTCCCCTCCACACTATGAAACAAGATCCCCCTTTATCAGCAGCCTGGAATGGGGGTGGGAGCATGAATCCTAGGGGTTTGTTTTCATTTCATGTTTAATTTCCTGCAGGCTGAGCGAAATCTTTCCGCTCCTGCCTCAGCCTCCCAGGGTTTTTTGGGGGGAGGGGTGGGGAGCCCACAAGAGACATCAGGACAGATAGCTCCTATCTTCCCTCGGAGGTGGGGCAAAGGGAAGGCACATTTATGATGTGACCCTTGTGTCTCTGCGGTCCAGGTCTGCCTGTTGTAGGAACCTCTGAGGGTCCATGTCCAGCAGGGAGGAACCAGAGGGTAAGGGTGAGGGGAGGAGGTGGAGGGTGTCTGGCATGGGATCTAGGACTGTGGGGAGGAGCAGGTAGAGGAAGGGGCTGGGAAGGGACCTGGGGGACCGGGTTATCTGGGAAGGCAGATGGGCTCGGAAAAAGAACTAAGATATGCTCTGTACAAGCCACATCCTCACAGTGAATGGGACCGTTATGTACTGCAAACTTGTGCTCAGAAGAGTAAAAATAACCCTAAAAGCTAAATTACCCTGGCTGGTCTGCAGCATCCCCCACTAACACGGAGGTAGCAGAGGCACACCAGAGGGTTCCCCTCTGCTCCCATCCCTGGGTCCTGAGACTCCTTTGGTCTCTGATCCCTGCCACTGAGCCCCTGGGCCTCAGGGCCCTGCTGTCTCCACTGCGGCCGGCCCGGAAAGAGAGCCGCTCCATCCCTCTGATGTCGCACCCCAGGACCACCCGCTCCCCAGCCCACCCGGGCCTGGCCCACTCACAACAGGCCTCTCCAGAGGACCAGCCTATGCAAGGAACCAACTGTCTTGGCGGAGGCCTCCTAACCGCAGCCCATCTGGGGCCGGGGCGGGGTGGCCCAGGGCGGGGAGGCCTTGCCTCATCGCCTTCAGACAGCAGCAAGAGGCCCCTGCAGCCCCCTGGAGCAGGGCCGAACCCCAGGCTTCTTCCCTGGAAAAGTCTGTCTTGGGACCTCCGCCACCCCTAACCCAGGCACCTGGCTTGCCACCAGCTGAATAAGGGCCCCAGACAAACTCCACAGGCAGGGGGTTCCATCACACCCCACGTCCCCCAGGGCAGTGCCAGGCCCCGTTCAACCCAGAGGTCTGACGCACATGGAGATCCCACCCACCCTGCTGCTTTGTACGAAGTCTGGCCCGAGTCCTACAGCAGCACGCTGCAGTCACAGCACAGACAGGACCTGGGAGTCCTGAATTCCTGCTCGGCTCTGCTGCTGCTGAGTCGCTGTGACTTCAACCCATCCCTGCCCACCTCTGGGCCTTTCTTCTTCACCTATCAAGCAAGAAGATGAGGGATGCCTTCCAGCACTCTGTCCTGTGATCTACCATCTTCCCCTAACCTTTCCAAATGACCATGAAAGGAAAAGACATTGAATGGACTCAGGACCCCGAGGCAGCCAGGACAGCACAACTACAGAGAATCTCCAGAGAGGATTTCTAGAGCTTCTTTCAGAAAGTGCCAAGAATGATGGGATCGGTGTGCTCCACACGAGGGGGAGAATTTTGAGGAGGATTCATGGCAGTGTGCCTTTCACTGCAATACATTTTTAACACTTTTTAATCTCACACCCTATTTCCATCCTGCCTTGTGAGTCTGTACAGAGAACGCTCCATTTTAGCTGTACGGTGCTGCCTGGAAAATGCCTTGTGTGCCTGTGTCAGTTCCATGTCTTGTGCCAAACGAGCTGTCACTCTTTTAATCCTCTGAATTCTGCTGGGCAGACATGTACTTGTTAGGGAGCATGGGTGCAGCACACCGGGAACACGCAGCGCGCACACCCTGAGTGGAAGACACACTGGTTTGTCCATCGCTCGCCCAGTGCTGCAAGATGCCTCAGAAGCTCCTGACCCTTTCTCTGCCCGCTCCTGCAGCTTTCCGAACCCACTGGCTGGAAGTGGGTTGCTGCCCAGACTCCAGCAGGCAAGGTCCTGTGCAGGGTGACAAGGCCCTGGTAAAATGCGCATCCTGCTCTGATGTGTGTCCCCGAAGCATCGTTCTGTGGGTGCAGGGTCTGGCAGCTGTATATATACCAGGAACCCCAGACCTTTGCTCATTAGCCATTTTTCACGAGGAAGTTTCTGGACTAAATTACAACGGCTCTGTGTTATGGACGCCTTAGAACTGCCCCGCTGAAATCCCGTAGTGAACTAAGGCCTCGGTACCCCTGCGGCCTGCTGAGGACAGCTGGGGCTGAGGTCCTGACACTGCTGGGCTGCTCTACGCTGTGCAGATTTTTTTCTAAATCTTTTCTGTGAGCTGTTGATTTCCTGGCCTGGGGAGGGGACACTGTTGTACAACAGCGGTGCATCTGCCATTTCTAACATGCCACATGCGGTGGGAAAGCAGCCCGGATGTGACATTTAGTTTGTGTTAAACTGAATGTAAACTTTAACGCACCCATCTGGGCACCTATATTTCGTTGGCTTCTCAGAGGTCTTTGCTTTCTCTCTTTGCCATGGTTCCCACAGGGAGGGGAACACGCCTACCTGGACAGAGCAGATCCACAGGTCTACAAATATTTAACTTCTGCCTTCTTTCTGAGGTCGGCCTTTTGTGATTGGTGGGGAATACAGTGAGCCCTAGGAACTCACACTTCAGTGGGAAGAGACAAATAAAATAATTTAACCACATCATAAATCCTGTAAAGAAGATAAAACAGGACAACGTGGTAGAAAGTAACCCGGTTTGATTGTGTTGTGTTACTCTGGGTTGGACTGAGTTGGCCGAGTTGGAACTGGGTGGTGTTAGGTCAAGTTGTATCGCGTTGGGGCGCACTGAGTTGTAGCAGGCTGTATAGGCTTGAGTTAAATGGTGTGTTGTAAGAGGCTGGGTTGTGTTTGACTGCAATGTGCTGGATTAAGTGACTTCTGTGTTATGCTGAGTTGGGCTGTGTTAGGTCGCACTGGGCATGCACTGTGTTGTGCTGGGCTGAGTCGTGTTGCACTGTTGAGCTGAGTTGTGTTATCTTGGGTTGACCTGGGTTGCACTGGTTTAGGCTGAGTCATGCTGGACTGTGCTCGGTTATGTTGGTTAGAGTTGTGTTATGTTGGGTTGTGTTTGTGTTATGTTGGGTTGCATTGTTCTGAGTTGCGTTATGTTGGGTTGTGTTGTTCTGAATTGTGTTCAGCTGTACTGGTTGGAGTTGGGCTGTGTTGTGCTGTGTTGAACTGTGGCAGGATTGGGATTTGGGTGGCTGCATCTCCTGCTTTCATCATGGCCCAGGAAGACCCCTCAGAGGGAGTGTGTTGAGTTGGAACCAGGACGGAGGCAGGGGCCATCCCAGGCAGGAGGAGGTGCTGAATTGGGGCAGCCGTGGACGTCCATGTGTTTGTCCTATTTCCGGCTTGAGAGACAAGGCCTGTACAGCAGAGGCCACGAAGGGGTCTGGACTCACTGTTTGGGGCACAGAGACAGCCAGCAGGCTTCCTGTCCGCCATGGGCCTGCCTTACTTTGTCCTCATACAAGATGGCGGTCACTAAGAAGAGAGGAGGAGCAGACCATCCCGGTTGCCAGGGGCAGTGGGGGCAGCCTGGACCCTACCCTCGGCCCCACAGGCTCACGGACTGAGGAAAGACAGCCCTGGTTGGCTCTCCTGGGGAGCCCGCTCTCCGCCACCCACAGCCCCGCTGACCTGCACGCGGGCCTCGGTGAGGTCCGTCCTCATGGCCAGCTGCTCCCGCGCGTACACGTCCGGGTAGTGCGTCTTCTGGAAGACCTTCTCGAGCTCCTCCAGCTGGTAGCTGGTGAAGGTGGTTCGGTTCCGCCGCTTCTTGCCCTTGTTGCTCTCGGAGTCGGCCTTCTCCAGGGGGCTGGGGAGGTCAGCGCTGGCCCGGTCCTGGGGCCCCTTCACCCCAGCCTCCTTCACACTGAGGTAGCTGCTGTCCATCCCCACGGCGTCGGAGTCGGGGGGCAACTCCGGCTCTCCCAGGGAGCTCTCTTTGGCTGAAGGAGGAGGAAACAAGGTCAGAAAGCAGTGGCTGGACCGAGCAAGACAGAAGGGAGTCCTCGGGGAGCTGACCCTGCCTGAATGCTGCTTTCATTAGCTCCTGAGCATCCTCGGGCAAACCCTTTCCCTGCTCTGAACCTCAGTGATACCATCTTAGATGCTCTGGAGAGATTTGTCCTGCACTGGACAGATCCTCAACTGGATCTCTGTGGTACTAGGTGTGCTGCCCAGCACCTCAGCCTCCCTGGATGGAGGCGAGAACTTGCTCCAGTCATGTTGGGCCCGCTGTGCCTGGGGATGAGAAGAGAGCACTATGACAGTCGGTCCCATTTGGGGTTCAGCAGCAGCTGTGGGGACTCCTCTGTCTCAAGATTCCAGTGGCAAGTCCCAGGTTTGGTGGTTCACACTTGTAATCCCAGCCCTTGGGAGGCCAAGGCAGGAGGATCACTGGGAGTTCAAGGCCAGCCTGGGCTACATAGAGAATTCAAGGCCAGCCTGAACAATGTAGTGAGACCCTGGCTCAAACAAACAAACAAACAAACCCAAAGATCCATGTCCCCGCCCACCACTGCACCCCACAATGGTTTGTCCCACCACCCAAATGAGGGCTCTTTGCCCTTAAGGGATGGCACAATAACGGTACGATGTCTTTCCTTTCATTCCATTGTCTGGCCCTCTGCTCGCTGAGGCTGTCTAGGCCCCTTACCCCCAGATGTGACATCTGGGCCCCAGGGGATTGATGTGAGCACAGCTCACAGCTGCAGCCCACGATCGCTGCCGGTTGACATGGTGGGGCTCCCATCTCCGGTTCCTGGACAGTCAGGACTGGAAGGGATTAAGTCACCCCATACAGGCCAGGGACACAGAGGCAGAGGCCAGGCTGGGAGGCTGGGACAAGAGCAGCTCCTTCATCCCAAACAACCCTGTCGGCATCCCAGGTGGACACCCAGTGCAGGGCAGGAACCCCGTCTGCGACCCTAGCTCTGTGCTCTGGACAGAGGAGGTGACCACTTTGTGCCTCAGTTTCCCTCTCTATAAACTGGAGCTGGCAGGATCATAACAGATGTGCGCCTCCACCACTCTGTCCCTCAGTCCCTTCCTCTGCAAACAGGCTAGCAGCTGGCTGGTATTAAAGGTCAGAAGGCCTCTGCTTCCACCTGGATTGTGGGGCTGAGGCTCGGATTCCCCCAACCCTGCTTCTGTGTGGGTGGTGGAAGTAGAGTGTGACATCCCCCCTCCCCACCCCATTAGTCTCCCTGCCCCCAGCCCTGAGAAGAGGGAGCAGAGGTGCACAGAGCAGACTGTGCCCCAGAACCACTCACACTCCAGATGCCAGGGGGACAGGGACCAGCCCAGGGCATCATGGGTGATGCCCATGTGGGCCTAGGCACACATAAGCAGCCACAGCTTCGCTGACAGCATCATGCAAACTACAGCTGGCAACCGGGCCAAGAGCTTTCAGCAAAGATATTTATCTTCCTGGCAGACAAATAAGTTTTATGTTTTGGGTCTTTTTTTTTTTTTTTTAAGGAAAAGAAATCCCACCCAGCTCACCAAAAATAAACATCCCTGTTGTGCAATTTCCTGGAGGCTGGGCCTGGGAGGCAGCCCTGCCCCCTGCCCTTACTCCCCTGATCCCTCTCCCCAGCCCATGCTTCATCTGCATCTACTAGGCTTGGGGACCACCCTGCATAGCAGCAGGGGCTGGGGGAAACTGAGGCTAGACACAGAACACATCCGAGCTATCAACGCAGCACAGCTCTGGGCTTCCAGGTCTGTCTATTCCACAGCCAGTGTCTTGGGCTCCGGTTCCAGGGAGGGGCAGAAGGAATCCAGGACCCTGAGGGTGAAAGAGTGGGGATGCCCCCTGAGAAGCAGCTAAGAACAGGCTCCAAGCTTCCAGTTCTGTCCCTGCCCCACTGAGACCTGCCTGCTCCAGGGTTTAGGTCTCCTCATCTGCCTGGGACACTGTGTGACCTGCAGGTCTCACCTCCACCTGCCTGTCCATGGAGAGGTCAGAAAACAGGGTGGCTGGCACCACCTCAGCACACAGGGCCCCCCAGAAGGTGTGCAAGAGGAGGCAGGTATAGGGGAGCAGACGTGTCATGCTGGGGACTGTAAGAATTCCACTTCCAGCTCCTCCAGGAAGAAGAAAGAAATCCTTCCAACATCACATCTCCGTTATTAGTTATCTTGCTTTTAAATTCTGAAGCTGGGTCCCTAGTTAACACAACAAAGGTTCCATGACTGCCATTCCCGCTGCTGTTGGGGGGGGGGTGCTGCACAAAGCCAGTAGATTGCTGTCTGTTAGGTGATTTTCAGGGGCCTGGCTGAGAACCGGCCTCTGAAAACACAGACTCGGGAGCTATGGAAATCACCAGCCTGCTTGGGCCCCCACAGCCCCCACATCCAGCTCTCTGCCTGGCTCGGCCCTGGCTAGAGCTGACCACTAAGATGCCATCCATAGCAGCTCCTCCAGGAAGCCCTCCCCGCTGTGACAACCTGCTGACCTCTGCTTGCCTCGCTGGGTGCTGCCTGTGTTTGCAGACCAGTAACAAATCAAGTCCCCAGTGTCCAGCTTCTTCAGGATGTCAGCTCCCAAGGATCAGGGCCTCTGGCCATTTGTCCCTTGCCAGCCTACAGTTTAACACGGTGGGGGGATGGAGGCAGGCAGCAGAGGTGCAGTGAGAGATTGCAAGAGAATGAATGAGCCATTTCTGAGGGACACAGCTGGGCTCTGTCTGGCCCCCCTTGGGCACTGACGGTGTCCATGCCCCGCAGCGTACATGCAGAGAACATCTGTTAACCAAATGAAAGACCAAGTTCATCCTGCTACACAATGAGGGTGAGGCAGACAGCAGACATGAAAAAGAGGCACCCAGCTGGGTACGGTGGTGCCTGCCTGGACTCCCAGCACTCCGGGAGGCTGAGGCAGGAGCACTGCAAGTTCCAGGCCAGCCAAATGAGTGTCACTCTTCAGGGTTGATGGCTTACACGCCAAGAGGTAAACGACAGAGATCTCAGGCAGAAAAAGACTGAGACAGGGCCGGAGGGACACAGGTCTCTTCACAGGAGAGGGAAGAGACAAGGAGGGCCAGTACTGGCCCCAGACCACCTCTTCCCAGGCCCAGGGGCAGCCGCTGTGGACCCGAGTGGCAGAAGGTGTGGAGCCAGCTGCACAGCCCCCAGTCTTGGCCTGGAAATCAGCCCGTCTACACAGAGGAGTCAAATATCAGCATCCGTGAAACAGAGCACCATTCCTGCAACAGAGCGTGCTCCTGCCCAAGACAGTCCACGCTGAGTGTGGCCTTTATCATGCGAAGGCCCCTCGAGCAACTCGAGTCCACCTCTGTTCCCAGGGCGCCTGCGGATGGGTGGAAGGTTACACTGCCCTCCACCTAGGCCCTAACCCCCGTCCTGGTGCCCAGCTGAGTTTCAGCTCAGGAAATGCAAGACACAGGAAAGTTTCCTTCATTGCTGGGCTCTGTGTACCTGTTCTTGGCAAACCCAATGACATCGCAGTGCCTCAGGGCACCTCTTTGTGATCTGAGAGTCTTTGAGAGAGGACTGTGATGATTTTCATCTGGAGCTTGCTGGGATCCCTCCGTGGCCGGGACACACACACTGAGCAGCGCTAGCCGAGAGAAGTGGGGGTTGCATGCTAGTGTGGCCCAGGGCAGGCTCATGGTGTGTGTGTGGGTGTGTGGATGTGTGTGCGGGTGTGTGTGTGCACATGGGTGTGAGCAATCTTACCCTGCAGACATGGGGAAGGGTGTGGGGGTGGGTGGGTAAGCATGTAGCTGTCCCCAGGCTGTGCATATGCAGCGTGTGCCTGACAAGGTCTGAGTAATTTTACCCTCTATGGCTTGGATTGCATTTATTTTCCCTCCAAACATCTGTTTTGTGGGGTACACATGGCCCGCTCAGTCCCCGTGAGCCGGCCCCACACGCTGCGTGCCGAGATGCTCAGTACCGATGTAATCTCCTCAATGACAGCCGCCAGCTCAAAGCCCTGGGTCCTACTTAAAGGATGCTGGCTAAACCCCCTGCCATCCAGCCGCGTGGGGTAGCAGGTCCAGGGTCCCACTGATCACGTCCCACCCCGTTGGGCTCCATCCACAGCTCAGTCTCCGTGTCCCTGTGTTAGCTTCAGGCTCAGCACAGAATTCCAAAGCAGCACCCCAGTACCAGGAGATGTTTCAGCAGACACATGTGGGGCCCTGCGTCCAGCCCACAGGCTGCAGAAGACAGGAGGATGGCACAGGTGCCCGTACCCAACCGCGCCAGCCAGAGCCCCAAATGCTTCCCTGAAGAAAGCCTCAGAGCGGAGGACCTGGGCCAGGTGTCCCCTTGAATCAGGATTTTAGAGAAAAACTAGAAATGTGAACAAAGTACATTTAGTCAGGAATGAAGTTTAAAAGAAAAAGTAGGCAGAATATTTGAACAGACAAATCAGCAAAGATACAAATGTGCCTGGAAAAAGGGTCAACATCAGTCCGCATTAGGGACATGTAAGTTAAAGCGTAACAAAGAGCAGGGTATGTAGAGGCTGAGGCAGGAGGATCCCCAGGAGTTTGAGGTCAGCCTGGGCTACACAGTCCAAGGCCAGCTTGTACTCTGTCTAAAAACACTCAAAAGAGAAAGAAAAAAAAAAGGAGAGAAGAAAGAAAAGAAGGAAGGAAAGCAGGAAGGACAGACAGACACACACACACAAAATTTCACTGCACACCTGTTACAGTAGAAAGAAAAAAACTGGCATCGCACAGGGAGGCTGTGGAACTCTCAGACAAGCTGGGCAGAAGACAGCCTGGCACCCTTTCCTCATAGTCCAGCCGTCTCACGCCCAGCATCTACCCTGGAAACACGGAGACATCGCACACCCATAACTCCAGGACTCTGGGAGGCTGAGGAGGACGGGTTGCAAGTTCAGCCCCAGCCTACAGTAAGACTTTGCCTCAGAAAAAAAAGAAAACATTGACAAAAGAACTAGGGATGC